CAAAAATTTTCCTGGGGGCAGAAAACAATTTCCTGCCAAGCTCTAGCTAGCATAACTTGGAAGTAGCTAACACAACAGTGTGTGCTCAAATGGTATTTCAAATTGTCGCTGCTCTCATTCAACCTAGGCTAACTGGAAGCAAGTTAATGCAAATGGAGGAAACTGGACATAACGGAAAATTTACCATCAGCCAGAAATTCCATGCCCACACAAATTTAAGAACCCAGAATACAATATACCTCAATGAAATAGAAATCTAATTCTATTAACATAAAATAATATGTTCATATTATTGGGATTACTAAGTGTTTTTTGGAACAAACAGCAATCATTTTTAAGAGGACAGAAATGGCACACCCAAGTAATCAACCGGGAAGCACCTACAGGATAATAAGGTGATAAATAGCCAGCAACAGGGATGTATTAAAAGTCCACAGTAATAATTTCTTTTTCTGATTGGATAAAAACTTAGTGGAGAAGGGAAGTCACAAGTCACACTGGTGTCTACCCATATTAATGGTTCAATTTCAAATTAGAAAAGAGTTTTCTTTCAAGAATCAATTCTGGGTCCAATGCTAGTTAATGTGTTCTATTTTCATTAATGACTTTGGAGGTGGAATTAAGAGTTCTGTAATCAGTTGTGCAGAAGATACCAGTCTGTCTGAGATTATAACTATTATCTGAAAAATATTTGCAGTTTGATTGATAGGTATACCCACCATGCCTGGGGTCACAAGGGAGCATTCAGTTGACTAGGCCACCAGGAGTTTCATCTACAGAAGAGAAATCTCTACTTGTTCTATTAGCTGGGATCAAGGAACTGGTCCTATATCTACAATTGTATTTAAAAAACACACACACAACATGAAAAGAAACACTAGAAAGTTATGATATGCTAGATGGAGGTGGCCTATAATCAGCGGGGCGCATAGCCACCGCAGGTCCTGGGGCAAGGATCCATGCCCCAGAAAGAGAGTGGGCCTCAGGCAGAAGGTGTGGGCCCTTGGGCAGTCAGTCTTTAGTGCCATTCAGACTGTGGTGCACCCCTCCACAGCTGCACACAGTGGCACTCTGACAGCTATTCAAGAGGCCCAGAGCTCCAGACACAGCTGCTGCTGCAGTTGCAGTGTCCAGGAGCTCCAGGCCTCTTTGAATCGCTTGGCCCTGGGGCAATTTCTGCCTTTGCCCCCTCTGTTAGTGGGCCTGTCTGTACCACACTAACCATGTGCCTGTGTAAGAGCATTTACTCTTTTTTTCCACAGAATCCCTCATGCTGGCCTTCTACACAGGGATGAATTTCACTCATGGCAAATATTTTTTACAAAATGCAATGAAAAAATATTCTTACTTTTCCTTCTAGGTCACGTTGCATTCCCAAAATTACCGGTGTCCTTGGGGGATGTAAGGAAATGGAGGTTTTCACATAATAAACATCCAATATATTAATATATACACTTCTGAAAATGTTAAGAGAATTTTACTATAAACAGCAGCTAGTTTTTAAGTGGGGAAAAAACATTTTGCAGGGAATTTGTGGAATGTGACTTTTTGCCAAATCACACTGAAAGATAAAAACTTACGAGTTCAGGTTTTACTGTAGATATTTTGCATGATCCTAATTTGAACTATATCTATATGCACTTTGAATTTTTTTCCAGTGACTGAAAAGGCTTACTATTTGCATTTGATGTACAATAATTAGGCATTTTAATCTCATTAATATTTATTTTCATAGCTTTAAATATATTTTAAATAGTATTCTT